ACTTGAATTTTTTTAAGCATGTACTCAGTGTTTTCAGAAGTAAAAATAATTGACAGAAGACATAGCAAACATGAACAGGTGAAAATAATTCTTGTATATTACTGATTTTATCTTAGACAGCTGAGTCTGGAAAATACACCTCTCTTAGGGATAACGCAGGTGTTTCTAGTCAGCAGATGGTTAGTGGGATGTGACCAACAGACAGAGGTAGTAGTAGTTAGTGCCCTGCAATGGGAGCCGGGATTGGGACCACTGGCAGTTAATCTGGGGGCAGYGGTGTCTCCCTATAGCTGACTACTCAACTTTTCCAGGTTGTTGTATTTTGTATTATTTTTCTTTATTTTAGTTATTTATTATGTTTATTTTAAATCATAGTAACAGCTGTTAATCACAAGCAAGGAAATCCTTCATATACCTTGGTGCTTACATTTGGGGACTGTGGACAATGACAGCCAGATGTAATAARTGGGAGAAAAGTCTTAAGAGAGGAAGAAGAAAGAGTAAATAAGGGAATGAAAATGGAAAGTAGGGTAAGAGAAGTRAGAAGAGGCAATCAAAGAAGGTAGATATGGATTCACATAGAAAACTTCCAGAGCATGGTAGAGAAACTTAGTTTCAGTTTTCCTATGTTTAATTATTTCCCTGGAAGAGAGGAGTGGGGTGTTTTTTTTTTGTTTTGTTTTGTTTTTTTCCCCTTCATTTTTTTTTTTTTTCCCATATACCAGCAAGGCTGGATGTGGAAATCCTCAAACCAGAGGTAAGATGGTATGTCAGTATGTCTTCAAGTATCTCTCACTAAAATGGGGGGTTTGTTTTCAGGCTGTCCTTGACCCAAAGAAGTTATCATTTTCTCTGTCTCCCATAACTTCAGGCTCTCTTTCAGTCTACATGTGATGTGTGTGTTGATATTCTATTTCTGTCTTACAGGCAACAATTGGGTTTTATAAGAGTCTCAGTAATATTTAGTATTTACATTGAATTTTCATACAAAATTTTCATAAGCATTTTCAGTGCTTTAGAAATTAAACACCAACTAATCATCTCAGCACCTTCACAGATTCTATTTTACTCTAGCTTTCCAGCACATGAGGAAACTGCAGCTGACAGAGTTGCTGGAGGCAATGGAAAACAGCCTTTGTCAGTGGCAGCATTTGGTACTCACTCTATTGCCTCTTTGCTTGTATTTGGTTCATCTCTCTGATAACTGTATAGTGTACCTCCCTGCATKGATTTGATGCCATAGTGATGAAAGTGGTTGGTATGAAGGGTTATCTCTGTAGTGTGTTGAGGKTTTTTTTGTTGTTTGTTTGTTTTGTTTTGTCAAGGGTTAAAGAATAAAGTGGCAGCTATTTAGCTGGTAAGAGTCTCTGGTTTACCCAAAATGTCTAGGATGGAAGCTAATTATCCTGACAAATATCTGTTGCTGGTAAAGGACCTGGCTTCATAATTGGTAGCTCAAAAGCCATCTGCCATAATCTCTCTCAAAATGTATAGATTTTTCAGGCTCACATATATGAGCTTTCAAGTGCTTATTAACCATCTGGATGTTTGCTATGGGGTATGTTTTGAGAAGTAAGCCCTCCAAAATTTGTGATATTAAAAAAAAAAAAGTTAATATACAGATTTTATAACAGTCTTATATAAGTCATATATATCTTCTATAACAGTCTAGAGCACGTGGCACAGGGCTGCATCCAAGTGGGTTTGGAAGATCTCCAGAGAAGATCTTCTCTCCAGAGAAGAAAACTCCACAACCTCTCTGGGCAGCCTGTTCCAGGGCCCTGTCACCCTCACTGTCAAGAAGTGTTTCCTTAAGTTCCTGTGGAACTTTTGGTGCCTCAGCTTGTGGCCGTTTCTTCTAGTCCTATCACTGGCCTCCACTGAAAAGAGGCCGGCCCCTCCTCCTCACTGCCTCCCTTGAGGTATTTATAGACACTGATCAGGTCCCCCCCCCTCAGCCTTCTCTTCTCCAGGCTGAACAGGCCCAGCTCCCTCAGCCTTTGCTCATAGGGCAGATGTTCCAGGCCCCTGATCATCCTCATATATAACATCATCTAGCAATGTTGCCTAAGTAACTGGGGTCTATTTGGGGAATTTATACTGCTTAGTTATTAAAGTATCTACAGAAGGCATTTGATGAATTATGCCAGCTACTTACACTTTCTGAAATAAAGACTTACAGGAAACTGACAATAAGTAATATTTCGCTAGAGCAGCATAAATTCACTTACGAAGCAACGTCAAGGTACCGAAGGTCTGATTTTTACCACTTTCTGCATAAAGTAATTCCCAAGAAAAAAGAAAGAGGTGTTCAAAAAGTAATAGAACAGGGTGTTTGATTTTAAATTGAAATAGTGAAACTATTACTTTGGATGAAACTTTACAGAAGTCTGTAAAATGACAGATCTCCTAATCAGATTCAGAATTTGCCTTTCAGGTACTCTGTGGTTGTCAGGAAGCAAGGGTAAGAATTCCAAAAAACTTCAGAAGAGTTGCTGAAATTGTACTCAAGAAGAATGACTATCTCGGAGTGAGAAAACAAATTCATTGCCAAAGATGAAATCAAAATGACTCCAATGACACGTAAGAATCTGATACAATGACACTAAAGAATCTTTTATACATTGATAGGTAGCAATAACCACTAGGTGATATTCTGTTGCTTATGGAGTAACTTCATGAAATTCAGTATCTCTTTAGATGCCAACTGCGGAACAGGCCAGTAGACAGTATGACCATAGGTTGCAATGTAGAAATTTAAACTCTTAAAGCTAAGGCATTTTCTTGAAAAGATTTTGTAATTGCAAGTACTGGCATAGCCTTGATCTAGGAAGGGCTCTATGAGAGGCTGGTTCTGTTATGTTTGAATTTCTTTGTGACTATTTCAAAGAAACTGCACTGCAGGAATGAATTAAAATATCTGTGTGTGGGTGTCAGCAATGATCTCTACTCAAAATTGCCATAATAGCCCATACCAAACTTCTTCCATTACCTTATCTATCAGCTAAGAAATCCCAACTCATTTTGGTTCCTCTGGAAGCAAACTGTTTTTCACCTCTAATACATGAAAACGACAGACATTGCTAAACTAGCTGCTTGCAAGGCAGCTGACCACACACAGGGAGGAGTCCTTAGTGTGCTATGCATCAGTTTTAGAACTTACCCAGATTCCCTCTGGGCCTTTTTATGTCCTACTATCTCACCCAGTATAAACTTGTTTATAGATAATCTGAAAAATGTTAACTAGTTATAGTCTAAGATACCTAACTGTGCTTTCCACTGGTTTCATTGATGAACTCTGTTGCAAGAGCTTCAGTCATGATGGAAGCAAAGCAATTCTCTGCAAAATAATTTTTAAGCATGCTGAAGTGAGCCTAACATGTAAAACCAATTCTACATCTACTGCAACTCTTCAGCTCTTAAAAAAAGCAATGAATTGGTCACATACAAAGACTAAACGGAGCAGACGGAGGAAAGAAGCTTCAATTTGGCTTGCAATGGGTAGGAAGTGCTTTACTCAGTTTTGCTCTGGTGGGGGGGGGGTATGAAGAGAAGGGGAGCATGAAAGAGCAGCCACAGGGAATGCCAAGGCAGAGGAGCTCTGGGTTTACATACTTGAAAAGAAAACTTCCTCTTTTGCGAATTTTCCTTTTACTGGAGAACAAATCCATCATTTGAGCTATATTCCAAATAGACCACACCGTTGCCCATCTCTCTTGCCTTAATCCCTTTCAAGTTAGTTTTATAACAAACTTAAGAGAATTTAAATGTTTTAATTCTGAACTACTTAAAATGTGATTATCAAGTTCTGCAGTTAGCAAACTAGTATCTTAAATGTCTACCTTTTCTTAAAGTATGTTAAAGTACCTACCTTTTATCAAAGCTCATCCAATCACTGTAAAGGTTAGATTTCTACTTCGTATTTTCTTTTGGAAATTTTGATGCAGATGCGATAGACAGTATGAAAAATGTTGAAAGATCACTCTATGGTATCTTGTTGTCCACATATAACCTTTGATTACTTACAGATGCTGAAGGAAGCCCTCCTGCTTGGTAATAGCTATCATTTTACAGGCCATAATTTCAATCAAATAGAAATTAATAGGATTTTTATCTGGACAACTGTAGCATTTATTTTGGGAACATACTGTCAACAACTTGAGTGTTATTTATTGACTCCATATCTTGGCTGGTCTTTTGAMACTGAATTCAGAAAAACAACTATACATTGGTGAACTTCTTTATATATTTATTCTRGTGAAGCTTACTGTTACTATTTCAGTGAAATTTTGGTGTGGAAATCTTCCCTGAATGATCATGATGTTAGAAAATATCAGCCCTAATTCTTTCATTTCCCTGAAGACKAAACACATTCACATACAAAGATTCTTAATAGTTTTCCTGGGTGCTAGAAATGATTTTTTTTATAAAAGCTTTTTGCTGAGATATTATACAATAAAAACATAGCTGAACATGAGAGATGGAGATAGAACTCTCTTTTTCACTTCACAAATGGTGTCAAACATGAAGTTGTATTTTATGAATCTTACGATCTTAGGGCAGGAAGCTATTCTAACAGTTGCAGAAAACATTTTCTCATTCATAATTCTTTAGAAAAAAAAAGACCCAAGTAAAAAATGACTACTGCTTTCTAGTTGCTTTAGATCTTTTAATGAAAAAAAAAGAAATCTAAAACGGCAAATATTTGAAATCACAGTATACACAGAAATAATCAAGGCTGAAATCCCAAGTGTCTTCAGTCTTCTCTATAACAAAGGAAGCAATTTTCAGTCTTGGCAGCGGGGGAAAAAAAAACAACATGATCTCAAATCAGACAACACAAACAAGAAATAAATTAGTGAAAGTGCAAAGTAAATTCAAATTACTTTCTAAATTTAAATGATATAAAAAATGTACTAATATCTGGAAGTAATATTTTTCTTCATTTGTTCATATAACTTAAAATCACGTTCTAACTTTTCTATATGCTAATGAAAGTGCACATATAGAGCCTCTGAGGGAACAGGAGTGCCACTAGATTAGTTTGAAAGTACAGATTTTTGAGATACCTTAATGAGAGAAAACTACAACCTGCTACACAGGATGCATCCTATAAAATCTTACTTTCACTGGATGTGTTTATGTTTAGAGAACAGTCATGTCTCAGAGTGCTGGGACACAAACAGACAAACCTCCTTGGTCCTTCAAATGTGCTGGCATAGAACACAGAAGAAAAGAACAGGAGATGAATCTCAGGCAACCTATGAATATAACCTTCTTTGAGCATGTTTCCATGGCAAACCAAAGGTGGTGATAACTATCCTAACTTTAATCAAGCACAGATAAGTTAAAAAGCATAACAGTGTTATTTTACAATCACAGATCCATGTAGGAGGGAGGGAATCTCCAGAGATTTTTTTGGTCTAATTATCTATTCAAAGCAGGTCCAGTTAGACCAGGCTGCTGAGGGGCCGTCTTTCACTTCCACACACTGACAGTGTCGGCTACAAATAGCTGTTTATGGCAAAAATGATTTATTAGGGARATAAGGGCACACTTTCTTTGCATGTATCTGATCACCTAATTTTCTCAACTTCATCTACCAAGTCAGAACAGCTGCAGACAGAATATTTGTTTTGCATTTGTTCAYGTCTTGCACACAAATTTATGGTTGCTTTAAGGAAAAAGCACTTTGTCAGGTCCTTGCAAAATACAAAGGAAGACTGTGATCCAAACTGAAGAAAATAATGGTGTGCTTTGGAAACAGATTCCAGGCATTATAAAAAACACATTTCAGCAATCTACAGGTGGGTTCTGAGGCCAAACAAAAATAAGCCTGGGATAATACACTAATGCAGGTCATCCAAGTTAGATGAAGACCTCRTGTAGAAACTATATTCTGAAAACTCTGCTTATTTATTTTACAATATGTACATGTACAGAGCCTGACTTATTTTTATGGAGATCGATATATCAAATAATTGGCATCCTTTTCATGAATGCAGTGAAAATTGGAAAATAACATGCTTGTTTGCTTTATCTATGCAGTCTGCTCTCTGATATTTTTCATGTCTTTCAGCAACGTTGGCCTGTAGATTGGCTCCAAGCTTTCCATATATTCTAAATAAKCGCTCACTCGAAATCCATGGAGAGCTTCTTCCTGCACAATAGTACACAGAAAACATCCATTAGCTTGGAAAAAAAGACGCATGGCTCAAATTTAATCAATTCCAAACTGCTGAAGATAGCTCATTTTGTTCTGCTTGTCACTCCCTGAGTGTTTAAAATGCATTTTATTACATCTCATTGGAAAAAAAAGAATTAGTGTATCTACTTCCAGACAATTCTTCCTCATTTTAACCTTGATAACAAATAGCTTTTCAGATGGAACTTCTTGTTCATCTTTTAGGGAACAAATCATCTGAAGATTTTACGGAAAACCAGTATTAAAAAGGCCCAGTCAGGTATCAAAATATTTTGAAAGCCTTTTTATACTGGCACACAGGATGTTAAAGTTTGTTRAAGTTTTTATATCCAATTATGTTTGAGAATCTAACAGTAGATATTTATTTTTAAATACCATTACAACACGCTTAGACAAATAGAATAAACACTTCTGTATCACCACAGAAGAGTTAACTCCTACTAATTCCAAAAACATGAGTAAAAAGAGATAGTCCAGGAGGCAAAAGCAAAAGGAGTAGGATTTTTTTTTTTTTTTTTGGTGGCTGATGTATTGGTTTGAACCAGCCAGGGGATAAGCAATTTCATACACTATATTACACAATTGCTTTAGTAAATCTATACCTGGTGTTACCCAATTATTATACTGCTATAACATTCATACTGGTATAAAGCTGTTATTAAGCCATCTTTAGTCACAACCTGGAACAGCTCTGCCTGTTTGGGCAGGGCAAATGCAATGACAAAGAAATGGGGAAAAAAAAATGAACAAGCCCTAAGAATCATGTTTTTATTATGACCACAGTTAAGCTGAAGGAAAATTAAAGAGTCAGTATTGAGATGTATTGACCACATCCTCTGTATACAAGACACATGTTAAACATTCCTACATACCAACCCCTACAGCTCCCATAAAGTATCACAAAAATAAAATAAGCAAGACACACACACACACACACACACATACACACGCTGGAGGCTGAAATAACCTGGAGGCTGAGTCAGAATTGTACCAACATCTTTCAAATGCAGGGATGCCACAAGTTTCACTTTTTTTTTTTTTTTTTCAATCTTAAGTCTACTCTGAGGCAGTGGATCCAAAGTGGATACAATGATATCTAAAATAAYTAATCCCTTAATGCCTCATCATTAGAGATCAAAATCACTGATTTTCCTGTGAAGGGCTGAAATGTTTTGCTTAATCTTTATTTAAATGGATCAAATACGCTATGTCAAGAACCTGAATATCAAAGWATTTTGCATCAATCTCATTCCAATAATCAATCCCAGATGCTTCTTCAGCACAATAGGAAGAAAAACACAATTCAGCACAATAGGAGGAAAAACAATATTAAAAAAAAAAAAAAAAACTACATTATATCAATCTGAACTAGATTCCAAGTAGAGAGTTCACCTTTTCAAACAATGTGTCATGGTTTTAATGCACTCACAACCAGTTGTGTATTAAGCTATGAGTATAGTATATGGCACCTGGTCAAAATAACACAGTCCACTGACTTTTGTGCCTCACCTTTTCAAACATCTTTGTGTAAATCCACCTCTCTGGAGAATATCTAGTTTAATACGATGCAGATCAGACCAGGAGACCTGAATCAATCTCCCTCAGGACTTAATATCGATTGCAAGGGGTGCTGATCTGGACAATATGTAAGATTACTATTCTCTGCAAAACCAAAGTACTATCTCACTTGAAATCAATATGTATATTCAATATACATTTTTCAAATTAAACAATATATTTTATTTCCAGTTTACAAAGTTTAGCTTCCCTTCAGCAGTTGAAAGATTAAAAAAGAAATCCTTACTTTCAGAAAAACCTGAAGATCTTGATCTTCGGTGTGTTTCAGAATGTCTTGCTGTAGGTGCCTGAACACAGCTATACACATATATATTTGATAATCAGGACCAAGGAAAATACATGTAGCAATGTAGTGACAGATCTCAATCCAGTCCATGTAGTTCCAGAAACACTGAGTTATCCACTGTAAACAGATCTGGATGAAAATGAAATTACATACTTTGAAATTGCTGTAGCTCTTCACTTCTTATCATTTAACATCATCTCTTAACTTTTTATACTATAGCACCTTTTCCTATAACAAGATCACTAGTTGTTATAAAAGGGAAAAAAGTGCAACAGAAGACAAAAAAATCACCATTTTATTAATCGCAAGGTCTGAACAGAACACCCATGACCTCTGAAACATAAAAGTCAATGTCCAATGAAAGATAAGGACATCAGTCTTTATATGACGAGTTTTCTTGGGATTTTTATATGGTCTAGAGAGTAATGAGGGTGATGAGGGTGTCTTTAACGTAGACTTTCCTTTAAATTAAAACAGTTATTTGCCTTATAAATGAATGCTAGGTCCTTCCCTAAGGCACTTTTGCATTTAATGAAATGAGGATGGAAAACATCTAGCAACTCCTTTCTCCACTTCTAACTCATAATGCACAAAGTGCACAGAGAATTTCATTTAGTTGTAGACCACAAATTTCCTTCTAATCAATCCTCAAAGTGTTTAAGAATATGCAGTGCCGAAAGTACCAAGACTCTAATTAGATGAAAGTAGCCATATTCTGCAAGGAAATTCTGCATTCAGTTATTTATTTGTGTACACGGGCACTTCATCACCCTAGAGCTGTTTTCACAGTTCAGGACTTGTTTGTTCCCCTTCCAATAAAACGGGAAAAATCACAYAGACAGAGGTAAGTGCTTATCACACCATTAGTGATCTTTCAGCAACAYAATTAATAAGATCTTGTTAGCAGTTTAAAATGCTAAATTGCTTACCATGAAGGGAGTGCAAACTGAAGACAACACAGGACAAGTTAAACAAGAATAACCAAGGAAGGAAATCATTAYCCCCTTGTGTTTTCTCACCCCAAACCAGAAGCCTTATAAATACCTCATTATTCCTATCATGAAAAAAAAATCTCATTTATCACTCCTCTCCTGAAAACATAAACCCCAGACTGACTTTTTAACAAATATGTGGAAAGTGCTAGTATSCATCCTCACTAGGAACACTTCTAAACTGCAAACCTTGGGACAAAATATTACTTTGAAGGYATAAGCCAAAAAATATTTTTTTTTTGCCTCGGAACAGTAATTTAATAGAGACATAAGCTCTCTTTCTGTGGTTAAGAAGCTGTTTATGCTTAATCATGACTAATGATGCATGACATATAACAAACAATGTTACATGTATACGACTTGGTRTTTCCAAAACACTGTAATGAAAAGGAAAACCAACATTATCATGAAATATTCTTTTCTAGTAAAATGTCTTTAATACAGGAACAGATTTTTTTTTTTAACCTTGATTGGAACGGCTGTCAATATAAAAAAAATTAAAAACGCTCTAATATTGCCCAAACTGCTTCCTATTATACACCAATCCTAGCTACTGATTTCCATTCCATTAAAAAAAAAWTAGAAAATGATTCAAAAATGGATTTTAATTCCCTTTATAAARCTGAGGTTTTAACAAACAGAATTTTTTAATCAAGTTTTTGAATSAACCTGTAATGGAAGATGATCAGGTGCAGTGCACTGCCACTCCTCTAATGAAGTTAATCAATTTCTCTTTTCAACTGCTCTAAGTCACTCTGCATACAATATTAGCTCTTCCTCTCACTTTCATAACCACCATACACCACCACTGAAAACAAGTAATAATTTGTTTGGAGTGGAAGAAACTTAGAACATTCTTCTTAAACCATTTCACTACGATGTAAGCAATAAAACTATTGCTGAATTTTATTGCTTTTAATTTTAACACTGAATGTCCTTGATTTTGTGGATTTAAGTTTTAACAGTTCATGTTCCTTTGGTATTCCTTCACCCATTACCTGAGATGGAGGGAAACCAGAGATGTGGAAGGCTGAAAAGACAAGTGGTACCTCAGCTTTCAGCACCATCTCCAGGTAGTGAGCACTGCAAAAATACACTGGGTGGATGCCAGACTCCACTGTGGTAACAGGCAGGTGCATCTGAGTAACAAAAATACAACCAGTGAAAAGGACTGTGGAAACAAAAATTTATTATTTTAAAACTGCTTTCTCAAGCCAAGATACACACATATCTACTACTAACATATCCCAAGCAGTTACTATTGATTTCTGAATATATAAGGAAATACATAAAAAGCTGGTGCTAACATCAGGAAAAACATATAGTTCAGTTAAACTGTTAGAAAATATGTCAGCTCTTCCTTATCATTAGCATTTTAATTTATTAAATGTATGCTTTACTGGTCAAAGCAGGAGTGCACAAACCCTTGTTACAGTTTTAACTGTAATTAATGTGTTTAATTTTAAACGACATCAAAAAAAGATTTTTTTTTGCCCTTTTACTGGTGGGTGAGTAGAACTGCTGTATTATATAAAACTGTATTCTGTATGAAAATTCCCCAGTGGTAGGCATGGCTGGAGCGAGTGAAATTCTATTTTGTGCAGCAAAAGGAACAGAGGTTGTAAGTGTGCAAAGAACTGCAGGAGGCTGTCTGCCAGGCCGACTAGGTTTAGTAGGGAAGATGACACTGGAGTTCCCAGCACCAGTGATGTTCAGCACAACTGTATTCACACAAAGGAGCGGAAATTCTTTCTCCTGGAACAATCTCAGGGCTGGACTCCATGCCCTAAGTGGATCCAATACATCCATTTCTGGTGAAAAGCCAGCTGAAACAGAGGCTTTTATAAAGAAGAGATATAGAATTTAATCTTTTTTTTTTTCTTTTTTAAATTAATCCCAGAATTCTCTAGTAGAGACTACAGTTTCTACTAGAAAGAAGTTTCTACAGTTTTAGATTTAGTCAAAATCTAAAATAATTAGACAATGACAAAGTTAAATTGAAGAATTATTATTTTAAATAGATGGTATCAAGTCTAACAACAGATGGAATTGGCTGATTGAAAAAATTAATCATTTAAGATTACAAAGCATTCAAGTACTTGGGCAGTAATAACTTTCAAAATTATTACATTTTCTCCCCAAAAATTCTAGCTTTACCAGTAAAAAGATGAACTTGAATACTGCAATAAGAATAAAAAGGCTATTCAATGAATGTTATCATAGCCTTCACACAAAATTTAATGCTACCAACAAAGTAGGTACATCAGGGACATACGTTCACTTAGATGGTTTTCATGAGAAGTTAATACGTAATAAGGACAAAAACACAAAAAGACCAAAAAAAAAAAAAAAAGACCAAAAAAAAAAAAAAAAAAAAAAAAAAAAAAAAAAAAAAAAAAAAAGACCAAAAAAAAAAAAAAAAGACCAAAAAAAAAAAAAAAAAAAAAAAAGGCACCCTGAGGTGTTCCCTGATAAAATGCTCTATTTTATTTATTATTTTTCTAAGTTGTCTTTCAGGAAGAACTTACAGACATATGCAGTCTTGGTAACCAGAGAAATGCTGAAACAAGAAGATGTGAAAATCGCTGAAGAAACCATAATGTCTTCTCCCTGTCTCCTGACATTATCAGAAACACAGAAGATGCAAACCAATCGTAGCCAGCATAAGCTCCCTGCAAGCAGCCTGCATGAGAAAGTTAAGGAAATGCAGCAAAGGAATTCTTTTCACTGCCATGCAAGAAATGTAGCCCTCCTCTCTCCCTATGTCAAAATGGGCAGAGCTGAGCATTGCAGAGATGGTAAATTGGGAACACAGCTGCACAAAAGAGAGTGTTCTGAACAGAAAACCTCAGAGGTACACCTGCCTTTAAACTTGAATTACGAGAATTGATTTAATCCATTTTCCCCATGTTTTTCACTTTTTTTTTTTCTAATCATCCCTTAAATTATCAAGCCAAATCAACCAAAGAAAACAAAACATAAAATTCATAAATACAGAAATAAACACAGATGAAAGCAAGTCTCCTTACAGTAAAAGAAAGAAGAATGACAAAAAAGGAGGAAAACATGAGTTCTGATAGTTAAGAGGAAGAAAGTAAAAGAAAAGCTTCYAACAATGATGAAGTTTATTCCAATATACTTGAGATATGCTTTTATGTAGTAAATATAAGTAATATGTAAGTATTTTAATGGATAAAAGAAGGCAGTAAAACCTCTGTAAGGCTAATTTTAAGAAGTTCTATAGTAAATCCTAAAAAGTCAGAAATCAAAACAAACACTCTTTCTAATCAAATAACAATCACAGATTATGCAACATGGATCATTAAAGATCACTAACAGAGTCAGCATTATGGGAATACCACAAATATGTTGCAATGTTCTAGACTTCAGAAACCTTTGACTCTACCCTAAGCAGTTTATAACAACAGTGATGGTTGCACTGTTTGTTGCAAGTGAGACTTGCAACATATTTTAAGAAAGTATAGGAGCCCAGGAAGAAGATCTTCAAGCTTAATGAGAACTCACAGTAGAAACGGATTTTTTTTTTTTCCTTCAGAATATACTACACATCTACATCACCAATAAAACACAAAGYGAGAGTTGAAATTCCATTGGCATCATTCCGGCAATGCAATTCACATCATCAAGAAAGGATACAAAGTGTGGATGCTACGGTTGTTTGCTGTTGTTTCAGAAATTTCTCACAACTCAACAACACYGAGGACAGCTCATCTTCGGCATGTTCCTTTAGTAAGTTTAAGTATTTCCCATATCTATCACAATAATAATAGTAACCAAAGGTTAAATATATTTTTCAGAAGCTTTCCTATGAGGATATTATGGGAGACTGTGTCAAAAGCCTTGCTGAAGTCAAGGTAGACAAYATCCACRGCTCTCCCCTGGTCCAGCCAGCCAGTCATCCCTATGTAGAAGGCTATCAGGTTTGTCAAATATGACTTCCCCTTGGTGAATCCATGMTGACTACTCCTGATCATCTTCTCCTTCACATGCCTAGAGATGCTCTCTAGGATGAGCTGCTCCATCACCTTTCCAGGGACAGAGGTGAGGCTGACTGGCCTGTAGTTACCCGGCTCCTCCCTCTTGCCCTTTCTGAAGGCTGGAGTGACTTTGGTTTCTTCCAGTCCTTCGGCACCTCCCTTGCTCTCCAGGACCTCTCGCAGATAATGGGAGAGCGGCTGAGCAATAACCCCCGCCAGTTCCCTCAGCACTCTGGGGTGCATCCCATCCGGGCCCATAGATTTGTGGGTGACTAGTTTGACTAAATACTCGCTAACTGAATCCTCCTCGATCAGCGAAAAATCTTCCTCTCTCCCGGTTCTTTTATCTGGACTCTGTAGTTCATGGGGACTGGCCTTAGCAGTAAAGACAGARGCAAAGAAGGCATTTAGTAACTCTGCCTTCTCYGCATCCTCTGTCACCAAGGCTCCCTCCCCATTCAGCCGCAGACTAACATTTTCTCTAGACTTCCTCTTGCTGCTGATATATTTGTAGAAGCTCTTCCTGTTGTCCCTGACATCTCTTGCTAATATCTTGCTATATATCTCTTGCTACATGTAATTCATTTCATTCTTTGTAATCACACATGATTCATTATTTAGGGTTTTTTTAAGTGCAATTATTAACAGCAGAATTCAAAAAWTAATGCTAAAGATAACAATTTGTGGAACTACAGACACATTAACTTCTCCTTCATCTTGGCTCTACAAATTACCAGATAAGAAGTGTAAACGGCATATAACTAAACTTAGCTAAACAGAACCATTAAGAGAACTAACGTGAGGTGAAAAAGACATGTAAATCAGGATAATGTAATTTATAGCAGTAAATCTTACTAACAAGTTGCAATTAATGCTTAGTACAATATTGACTAATATAATTTGTAAAGATAATTTAATTATGTACTAATACCTCTTTCATTTTGAGGCTTAGAATTCATTTTCTCAAAGATGATCTTTAGGTTTAAATGGTATAAAGCACTGAGTTGATGGATTAAATATCATTACAGTCATTCCAAGAAAATCAAACAAATTCTAGGAACACTCTAGGGAGGTATTTTAATGCTGTTTACCTGACTGTCATTTCAACACCGAGCTGCTGCACAGCTGAAAGGCTTTCATTCTTCACATTTGTATCAGTAGCTAAAACAAAAGAAGAAAACATTAAAAGGCATTATTATAAGTATGAYTTTAACTGAAAACTATGAAGTTTTTTCAAAATTTATCTATTAATACATTTTGAAGAACTTTATTTAAAACAAGTCCAGTGGTGTTTGAAAAGGATGCATCAATAACTTAAAATATAACTACATATATATATATATTTAATAAAAGCACTCTAAGAGAAAATGGTCACTTTTTACATGTTTATCTATAGCTTTACAGCACCAAGAACAACCAAGAACTTTCAGATCCATTTCTCAGTATAACTGCATCACTTGTGGCATAGAATTTGGACAAATCAGTATTTTCTGATGTACTTTCTTACATTCCAGTGGACTTTAAGTGCCCAAGTGGTAAAGTTAACCTTGTTAACAATATATCTATTGCACTATCAATTTAATAAAATCCAATAAATGCTAAAATAAAAAATCTACAACTTCTGTATTTTTTTCTTTCAAATACTTGTAGATATCCCACTGTGCCCTTACTGAATATACAGCTCTAAGATAGATAAATATTCATTAAAGTAATTTATTTTAGTAATATTKTCTCAAAATTTTCCATTCTAAATGCAAAAAGGCACTCCCTCTCTTGTGTATACGTCTCATYAATTATAAGTGTATCAGAAAAAATGTTACAACTCAATAAAAGTGGTATGAACTACAAAGCTGGAGGCTTTTTCTCTTTTCAGATAAAATAATAACAGTAATAATAAAGAGGATTAAAATGCTGATAAAAATACAAAGTCAATATTTTAAAAAAATCTAAAATATTTCTGTTTTTAAAAATGAAAATATTATAGATGGCAGGAGAAAACATAACATATTCATGCAAGTGGTTAAAGGAAAAATACTTGGAGGAGGCAGGTCACACTAAATTGATATTTGCTCTATAGCCTTCTCAGACTAAAAAAAAAATAAAAGCCAAACACAAATTGAAGGATTCCCTAGTTACCTATTCATGTAAACGTTCTATGCTACTGGTAAGCCAACAACAGATACTATACTATTAAAATACAATGTTTACTAGTTAGGGGAAGAAATGCCCCTAAGCAAGAAAAGAAATCCCAGA